TGACTACAGGCCTCCGTGATATAGCTATAACATTGCTGACTACAGGCCTCCGTGATATAGCTATAACACTACTGACTACAGGCCGCCGTGATATATAGATGACACATTGATGACTACAGGCCGCCGTGATATAGCTGTGAAATTGCTGACTACAGGCCTCCGTGATAAAGCTGTAACATTGCTGACTATAGGACTCCGTGATATAGATGACACATTGCTGACTACAGGCCGCCGTGATAAAGCTGTAACATTGCTGACTACAGGCCTCCATGATATAGCTGTACTATTGCTGACTACAGGCCTCCGTGATATAGCTATAACACTACTGACTACAGGCCGCCGTGATAAAGCTGTTACATTGCTGACTACAGGCCGCCGTGATAAAGCTGTAACATTGCTGACTACAGGCCTCCATGATATAGCTATTAGTCAGTTGGCCACCAGCAGAAAAGAGGCTTAGTTTAGATTTTCGTTCCCACATTTTCCTGTATACCTTAAACCTTTTCTGTTGCATAAAGGAGGTATCTGTACACAATTTTCATTGGGTTGTAAGCTTGCAAGTGTGTGCAGGAATTTTCAGGGGGTCAAAATTGCATAAACTGAAGGAAAAATGCATACTTTGACAAAATTGGCTGTAACATTTTTCATTAAGTCATTAAATTATCCAAATTAAGTCTTTGATTACAGGTAATAGGTTCGGTTATCTGAATTTGGCAAACATTTTGTTTCATTTAACTGTTATTCTAATTCTCAGTGGAAACATTGGTAAAAATCATGTTTTTTTACTTCATTTTCAAATCTTGTGAGTAGGTAAAACACTAATTCCATTGAATTGTGACAATAAAACCACTATAACTGGGTATTACCATTGTACTATCCTATACAAAAAACAAAATGAAAATATATTACATAGGGGTTGAGATATTGTTTACAATGTTACCCCACCCCCCAAAAACCAATTTTGATGAAAATTGCTTATTGAGTTATGGTGGTAGATGATGTTGCTGTAGTGGATGAGTGGGATAATTGCAACAATGCCTAAACACACCAAAATAGTAAACTCAGAAAGAAAAATTATGTTTCAAGTTTTTCTGTGAGCATTTATGGTGGCCATCTTGAATTTCAAGATGGCCGCCATTTTGACCTGTTTTTAAAAACAAGATCTTATATATTTCTTTAACATGGTCATGTAATATATCACATGAAAGCTTTTTACATTGTCTTTTCAATGATGTACATTATTCACTGACTCCTGTGGTAAATTGATCCCCAACAATGAAAAAAGGAAATATTGAAAGCTAATTTATCTCACGACTTCAACCCATACCCAAATTTAGATTTAATTTAAAATGGACATATTTTCACTCAAAATTGTAGATATACAGCACTTTTGTCTGACCATTTCACTAGTTTATAATTTGAGTGAAGAAACAAACATGAGAATACTTGTAGTATTATTAAGTATTAAAAATAAAATGTGAAATAATGTCACCGTCAGAGTCCGTCGCATCTGGAGAGGTAGGTAAGTTAAATTGTTTCTGTTTAGGCATGACATAGCACAACTGCATCCAAGGGAATATCCAATGATGTTCTTGGCGCAGCTACACCTGAATGAGGAGCATCTGCCTGTTGTGCATTTACAGGTGAGCAATTCTAGACACAGTGCTGGCATTCATTCCTGGGTCATTGGGATGGGTTCTGTGACATCGTCTGTAGACATCCAACTATACCCTTCTGGTGGTGGAATGTCCTTTGTGTGCGGAACACCACGTGATGCAAATGTGTTGACATCTGAGTAGAGGTTGTGTGGTGGGAGTTCCTCTAGGTCTCCAACTCTGTGGAACATGTCAGCTGTAAGTGTATTAATGCTACTTGCAGTCGATGCTGGATTGTACACTTTGATGACAAGTGAGTCTGTCTCTTTCATGTTGAAGGCACCAGTTTTTTCTGTTGGTTGCAACAAATATGGTTGTGCGATAAATATGTTCCAGGTCCACAACCTGTGACCGCATGGAATGCTGGTAGAGCTGCTACAATATCTGAGAGAATGAGAGATTGATGTACATCATCAACTGATATGCACCCATTCATATCTGAGCAGAAAACGATGTTTATGATGCGTCAACTGTACTCTAACATCAGTGTCTCAGCTGTTAATGACACTGTGGTCGTATCCATTGCAGGAGGCATCCATGACATTGATCACCATTCGTGTAGCTGCCTCTTTATGTGTTGACAGTAGATTTGGCATTGCTTCAGACTGATCTATGGAAGATACTGCTGTAATTGGGCTGCTTAATCCACCTGCAATGATGATGATTTGATGATTATGATGGAGATGCTGTGCCTGTGTGTGCAATTATGTGGTCAAGAATTGTATCAAATTTTGCTTGTTCATTTCAATAAAACTGGACAATGTAGCCAGCAGAAGGATGTCTCATTTATCTATTATTCTTCAAGTTTTCTTTGATCGATCACCTCTTTTTGTCCGAGTTGCAGATTTTACTGACTTTGCAACATATTGGTCAAAGACATCATCGACTTAAGTACAAGTTTCACCGAAGTTCTTCAGCACATTCCAATTGAAAACATCAGCCAAATCTCCAAAGGGCCTAGCTTTGCTTGGTTTGCCTATAACCTGTACAAGAGCCATGCCAGAAATAACAATGCATTATGTGTCATCAGTTGATGGTACCATGAGAATCTGCAAGCAAATGTGATAATGCAGCTTTGTTTTACAAAGTAGGCCATCTGTTGTTGCCAGGGAAGGTGGGGTCTGGGACAGCTCATGTGTTAGAAGATGTGGTACGTTTACTTCTCTTCCACTGAGGGTGGCACTCAGCAACCTTCTGAAACGTTGTCTTCCTTGCTTAAAGGTATTGGTTTGATTTGACTTCTTTGATATCTGCATGATGTACAGTGCGGAACATGTACTGTTGGACACACTTCTGATATTTTGTCATGAATACTCTTAGCATTATCCGCCAATCGATTGTCAGTGAACTCTGACAAAAGCTTGTCACCTCGATTCATACCATGATGATGTAATATCTTCCTTAGATCAATCTGCAGCAATACCAAATCTACCAAATCAGATATAGGTGGGTGCAGGTACTGCAAAGGACCTACTATTCATACAAGTTGATGATGTACATCAATCTCTCACTCAAGATGTTGTAGCAACTCTACCAGCATTCCATGCGGTCATGGTTGTGACACAACAAGCCAGTTCAGTGGTAATGGCAGAAGTCGACCTGGAACATATTTATCGCACAATCAGATTTGTTCTAACCAACAGAAGAAACTGGTGCCTTCAACATGAAAAAGACAGAAACATTTGTTGTCAAAGTGTACAATCCAGCATCGACTGCAACTAGCATTAATACACTTACAGCTGACATGTTCCACAGAGTTGGAGACCTAGAGGAACTCCCACCACACAACCTCTACTCAGATGTCAGCACCAGTGCATCACGTGGTGTTCTGCACACAAAGGAAAGGCTGACATTCCACCACCAGAAGAGTATAGGTGGTCATCTACTGAGGATGTCATAGAAACCATCCCAATGAGCCAGAAACGAATGCCAGCACTGTGTCTAGAATTGCTCACATGTAAATGCACAACAGGCAGATGCTCCTCATCCAGGTGTTGCTGCGCCAAGAACATCATGGGATGTTCCCTTGGATGCAGTTGTGCTATGTCATGCCTAAACAGAAACAACTTACCTACCTTTCCAGAAGAGATGGACTCTGACGGTGACTAGAGGTGACATTATTTCACAGCCCTTGACTCTGTGATGTAATCTTTAATACTTCATAGTACTACAAGTATTCTCATGTTTTTTTTCACTCAAACGATAAACTAGTGAAATGCTCAGACAAAAGTGCAGTTTATCTACAATTTGTGAGTGAAACGATGTCCATTTTATTAAAATACGACTTTGGAGGTTGGTTGGTGTTGCTAGAGAAATTAGCTTTCGATATATCATTTGTTGTATTATTGGGGGATAAGATTACCACAGAAGTCAGTGAATAAGGTACATCATTAAAAAGACAATGTAAAAAAGCTTCCATATGATATATAACATGACCATGTTGTAGAACTAAAGTGCTGTATATCTACAATTTTGAGTGAAAATATGTCCATTTCAATATAAATCTAAATTTGGGTATGGGTTGAAGTCACGAGAGAAATTAGCTTTCAATATTTCCTTTTTTCATTGTTGGGGGTCAATTAACAACAGGAGTCAGTGAATAATGTACATCATTGAAAAGACAATGTAAAAAGCTTTCATATGATATATTACATGACCATGTTGAAGAACTATATAAGATCTTGTTTTTAAAAACAGGTCAAAATGGCGGCCATCTTGAAATTCAAGATGGCCACCATAAATGCTCACAGAAAAACTTGAAACATAATTTTTCTTTCTGAGTTAACCGAGTCTAACCGAACCTATTACCTGTAATCAAAGACTTAATTTGGATAATTTAATGACTTAATGAAAATGTTACAGCCAATTTTGTCAAAGTATGCATTTTTCCTTCAATTTATGCAATTTTGACCCCCTGAAAATTCCTGCACACACTTGCAAGCTTACTACCCAATGAAAATTGTGTACAGATACCTCCTTTATACAATAGAAAAGGTTTAAGGTATACAGGAAAATGTGGGAACGAAAATCTTGTTTTTCACCTGTGGCCAACTGACTATATAACACTACTGACTACATGCCGCCGTGATATAGTTGTAACACTACTGACTACAGGCCGCCGCCGTGATATAGCTATAACACTGCTGACTACAGGCCGCCGTGATATAGTTGTAACACTACTGACCACAGGCCGCCGTTTCGCCGTTATTCATATAAAGGCAGAGATTCGTTAATCAAGCTTTTGCTAAATCGGAAATATCGTACCGTCTGGATGAATTGGGTTTTACTGTATTAACGAGTGTCAGCAATCAGTAAAACAGTCATTGAAAACAAGTCAGTTATGTCTTCCACTTCCAGTTCAATTTATTTCACAATTGGATTACATACTTGTCGAAAAGTGAAACAACCTGTTTTTATCTGTACAAAATACGTCACGTGACAGGTAGTGGTCTGTAAAGTTGCTCATCTTGTTTCCCTGCTGGTATACACCCGACCCCCCGTCGACATCTGTAACATAAACATATATATAAGCGACAAAACCATTTCCAAATTCATAAGAAATCTCTGCCAAATTGTCGATTGTACGATTCCGACTATGTCATAAGCATGTGTTTAGGAATCACTATCACATTGTGATGACACCAGGTGTTTGCGAAAAGGTAAGCGTATCCTGCCCTACCGGTGGCATCCATCACAAACACATGCAAAGGCAAGTCAAATGTTCACCTGAAAAAAACCCACGGGAACATATGATGCATGTCAAAATAGGAATTGCATCAGATATTATTTAAGACCCTGATGCGTCAAATTTGGAAATGTCTGCCATAAAACCTTTTAAAAGCTTTACTGAGGCCTTGTATGTTCTAACCTTGATCAAACAACTTCTGGTGAGGTGAAATAGGGTTTGACGTTGTGTTTAAGATTAAATTTGGTTTGACGTTGTGTTTAACATTATTGCACATATATAGCGACGTGTGTGTGTGTGTGTGTGTGTGTGTGTGTGTGTGTGTGTGTGTGTGTGTGTGTGTGTGTGTGTGTGTGTGGCTGCTTGTACTAGCCCGGACTGCTTATATATACTATAATGTTATAGTGTCTGTTTGTTTGTTAAACGCCGCACTCAGCAATATTCCAGCTATATGACGGCGGTCTGTAAATAATCGAGTCTGGACAAGACAATCCAGTGACATCATGAGCATTGATCCACGCAATTGGGATCGATGACATGCATCAACCAAGTTAGCGAGCCTGATCACCCGATTCCTTTAGTCGCCTCTTACGACAAGCATAGTCGCCTTTTGATGCCGCAGTATATATGCCGCAGTTTAACATGAATACCCCGCTCAGACACAGTATACTGACTCCGAGCCGACCTGTCCTTGTTTTAGGCCCCTAATGCCAAGCGCCAGGCATGGTCACAACAAGTACCATCTTTTAACGCCTTCTGATATGACGCGACCGGGGATCGGACCCCGGACCTTCTCCAGGCAGACACTCTACCACTAGACCACGGAGACAGTCTGTTGAGATGTGAGCGAGTGGGCATGTTTAAAATATCCGTAGACAGTATTTCAGTTATACCACTTCGGTTAAAAACCCGCCACCGCGGGTATTAGTGCTGCCACACTAAGGGTCATAGTGAAAGTTTATCTGGAAATCCAAGCCACGATCAAAGGATTTTGGTACAACTAAGGGACGCAACTCTGCACGGCGAAATACGATGCTGAAACGACGGTTAGTGCGTGAAGGCCCAGGTTCGATCCCACATGGGTACAATGTGTGAAAACCATTCCTGGTGTTCCCCGCTGTGATATTGCTGGAATAATGCTAAAAGCGGCGTAAAACAATACTCGTTCGCTATTTGAGCCAAAGACAACGGAATGTGATGACATCTTTTTTTCCGGAACACGCCCACCATCTGACTGTCATCTCGCCTGCGGTTCATGAGGGTTCATATAACTCAGACTATGTACACGACAAGGATAAACAACGCATGAACACCAGCCTTTTGTTCCACATAATATACCAATACCCATTAGGCGCAAAATATAAATGGATCGCGATACTTCTGTTGGTCATTTGTATGTTAACATTTTATAAAAGTAAATGCTATGAAGTGTAGCGTCTATATATGTTACTGGTATGACGAAATGGATCAGCCGAGTTGGACTCTATGGGGTTATTCGGGCACGGGTCATATTAATAGCTCATGACATGAGACATGAGGATCAACTGTCACATTTATCCGATATTTGTAACCATAATATAGTATGTTGAAATTCTTCTCCTGTTCAGTGATGTGATGTTAATGAATTCTTTACGACAGGTGCATGACCGTTCTGATTGCTGTCGGTGATAGTGTCAGAGAGTGAACTCAGTTGGATTTAATGCCGTTTTGATCAAGGTTGTTGTTTGTTTGTTGTTTAACGCCGATTCAGCAATATTCCAGCTATATGACGGCGGTCTGAAGATAATCGAGTCTGGACAAGACAATCCAGTCATTGACATCATGAGCATCGATCCACGCAATTGGGATACGATGCATGCATCAACCAAGTCAGCGAGCCTGACCACCCGATCCCGTTAATCGCCTTCTACGACAAGCATAGTCGCCTTTGACGGCAATCATGGGTTGCTGAAGACCTATTCTAGCCCGAATCTTCACAGGTCGATCAACGTTGAGTTATATCACGGAGTGTCAGTTTGATGGGAGGATATCCTGAAGCGATGCAGGTCGCAGACGTTCACCTTGTTGGTGAAACCTATAGATCATACGGGCGGTCGGGTAGCCTAGTGGTTAAAGCGTTCGCTCGTCACGCCGAAGACCCGGGTTCGATTTCCGACATGGGTACAATGTGTGAAGCCCATTTCTGGTGTCCCCCGCCGTGATATTGCTGGAATATTGCTAAAAGCGGCGTAAAATCATACCCACTCACTCACTCACTATAGATCACACTCAGGGCGAATTATAGGATCCTGCACGCCTAAGGGACGCAACTCTGCACATGCTTTGCCGAGGTTTAAACAATTAGGGCCAGCCGCTCCTCCGGACACATGTGTTGGGTTGTGTACTAGTCTGTGAATGCATAAGGGACACGGGTCGTCTAAGGCGCCGCAATGCGCGGTTCAGAGTTGCGTCTCTTGGGCACGCCAGAAACCTATGATTGTTGGTTCGATTATATTTCCAGGTCTGTCAGCACCATACCCGTGGGTTTCACCAAAGTGGTAAACGTCTGAGACCTGCGTCACTTTGGTCTTTTTTCCCACATTAAGCTGACACGCCGTGCTATAACTGGAATATTGTTCAAGGCGGCGTAAACTTGCCCACTCACTGTGAATAAAGGAATACAAGTTTTTTGTTTGTTCGGGTTTTTTTGCTATATGACGGCGGTCTGTAAAAAATCCAGTGATTTATATCACGAGCATTGATCCACGCAATTGGGATACGATGACATGCATCAACTAAGTCAGCGAGCCTGACCACACGATCCCGTTTGTCGTCTCTTGCTACATGCATAGTCGACAGGCGTGCGTTGCTGAAGACCTGTTCTAACCCGGATCGTCGCGGACATGAATACAAGTAGCTCTACTGATCTGTGTGTGTACATGGGAGGTCACACTGAGGGGAGAAGGCCGGCAGGTATCTTACTTCACGATGTGTTGAGAGAGTCGCCCACTGTTCTCTTCCTCTTGCCAGGGCTGATGTCGCTGGAGAGGAAGTCGTACAGGTCGGCTATGGAGGAGTATTCGTCGGTCTGGCAGTGGAACCCCAGGTTCAAGTTGCACGATCTCTTCCTGAAACAAATGGTCAACCAATTCCTTCAACAGCCATAATTTCGTAATGTTCAACAGCCTTAGACATTCGTTTGTTAATGTTCATCAGCCTTAGACATTCGTTTGTTAATGTTCATCAGCATCTGACATTCGTTTGTTAATGTTCATCAGCCTTGGACATTCGTTTGTTAATGTTCATCAGCCTTAGACATTCGTTTGTTAATGTTCAACAGCCTCAGACATTCGTTTGTTAATGTTAAACAGCCTCAGAAATTCGTTTGTTCATGTTCAACAGCCTCAGACATCCGTTTGTTAAAATGTTCATCAGCCTCAGACAATCGTTTGTTAATGTTCATCAGCATCTGACATTCGTTTGTTAATGTTCAACAGCCTCAGACAATCGTTTGTTAAAATGTTCATCAGCCTCAGACATTCGTTTGTTAATGTTCAACAGCCTCAGACATTCGTTTGTTTGTTCAACAGCCTCAGACATCCGTTTGTTAAAATGTTCATCAGCCTCAGACAATCGTTTGTTAATGTTCATCAGCATCTGACATTCGTTTGTTAATGTTCAACAGCCTCAGACAATCGTTTGTTAAAATGTTCAACAGCCTCAGACATTCGTTTGTTAATGTTCAACAGTCTCAGAAATTCGTTTGTTCATGTTCAACAGCCTCAGACCATCGTTTGTTAATGTTCAACAGCCTCAGACATCCATTTGTTAAAATGTTCATCAGCCTCAGACATTCGTTTGTTAATGTTCAACAGCCTCAGACATTCGTTTGTTAAAATGTTCATCAGCCTCAGACAATCGTTTGTTAATGTTAAACAGCCTTAGACATTCGTTTGTTAATGTTCATCAGCCTTAGACATTCGTTTGTTAATGTTCAACAGCCTTAGACATTCGTTTGTTAATGTTCAACAGTCTCAGACATTCGTTTGTTAAAATGTTCAACAGCCTCAGACATTCGTTTGTTAATGTTAAACAGCCTTAGACATTCGTTTGTTAATGTTCAACAGCCTCAGACATTCGTTTGTTAAAATGTTCAAAAGCCTCAGACATTCGTTTGTTAAAATGTTCATCAGCCTCAGACATCCGTTTGTTAATGTTCATCAGCCTTAGACATTCGTTTGTTAATGTTCAACAGCCTCAGACAATCGTTTGTTAATGTTCAATAGCCTCAGACATTCGTTTGTTAATGTTCAACAGCCTCAGACATTCGTTTGTTTGTTCAACAGCCTCAGACATCCGTTTGTTAAAATGTTCATCAGCCTCAGACAATCGTTTGTTAATGTTCATCAGCATCTGACATCCGTTTGTTAATGTTCAACAGCCTCAGACAATCGTTTGTTAAAATGTTCAACAGCCTCAGACATTCGTTTGTTAATGTTCAACAGTCTCAGAAATTCGTTTGTTCATGTTCAACAGCCTCAGACCATCGTTTGTTAATGTTCAACAGCCTCAGACATCCATTTGTTAAAATGTTCATCAGCCTCAGACATTCGTTTGTTAATGTTCAACAGCCTCAGACATTCGTTTGTTAAAATGTTCATCAGCCTCAGACAATCGTTTGTTAATGTTAAACAGCCTTAGACATTCGTTTGTTAATGTTCATCAGCCTTAGACATTCGTTTGTTAATGTTCAACAGCCTTAGACATTCGTTTGTTAATGTTCAACAGTCTCAGACATTCGTTTGTTAAAATGTTCAACAGCCTCAGACATTCGTTTGTTAATGTTAAACAGCCTTAGACATTCGTTTGTTAATGTTCAACAGCCTCAGACATTCGTTTGTTAAAATGTTCAAAAGCCTCAGACATTCGTTTGTTAAAATGTTCATCAGCCTCAGACATCCGTTTGTTAATGTTCATCAGCCTTAGACATTCGTTTGTTAATGTTCAACAGCCTTAGACAATCGTTTGTTAATGTTCAACAGCCTTAGACATTCGTTTGTTAAAATATTCAACAGCCTCAGACATACGTTTGTTAAAATGTTCAACAGCCTCAGACATTCGTTTGTTAAAATGTTCAACAGCCTCAGACAATCGTTTGTTAATGTTCAACAGCCTTAGACATCCGTTTGTTAATGTTCAACAGCCTCAGACATTCGTTTGTTAAAATGTTCAACAGCCTCAGACATCCGTTTGTTAATGTTCATCAGCCATAGACATTCGTTTGTTAATGTTCAACATCCTTAGACATTCGTTTGTTAATGTTCAACAGCCTCAGACATCCATTTGTTAAAATGTTCATCAGCCTCAGACATTCGTTTGTTAATGTTCAACAGCCTCAGACATTCGTTTGTTAAAATGTTCAACAGCCTCAGACAATCGTTTGTTAATGTTAAACAGCCTCAGACATTCGTTTGTTAATGTTCAACAGCCTCAGACATTCGTTTGTTAAAATGTTCAACAGCCTCAGACATCCGTTTGTTAATGTTCATCAGCCTTAGACATTCGTTTGATAATGTTCAACAGCCTTAGACAATCGTTTGTTTATGTTCAATGGAATTGAAATTGCAGTTGAATGTCGAGTTATTAACAAAATAATGTTACAAACCAAAGTCTACAGGAAATATATGGTTGTGATATGAGGTCACGGTAATTCCAAAAGTAAAAGAATTTGGACGTGGATAGAATTGTTTCTCAAAGCAGGTTCACTAATCACTAAAAATCCCCCCCCCCCCCCCCCCCTGCAACGCGCGCCTTACCTCTCAGCCTTAATAACCCGCTGGGTGTTGGCCAGAACGGCACGTAGCGACCTAAGCATGTATCTTTTTCTGTAGAGATCCTCTACCGATCTGTAACGAGAAAAAAATGACAAGTGTGGAAAAGACAGAAAGTGTAGCACATAAAGTTGGAACATGGAAACTTTTCTGAACGTATTCAGAAATTCTATATTCAATTCATACATCACCGAGAGCGGTTGCCTAGCCTAGTGGTTATAGCGTACGATCGTCATGCCGAAGCCCCGGGTTCGATTCTCCACATAGGTATGTGAGGCCCTTTCTGGTGTCCCCTGCCGTGATATTGCTAGACTAATGCTAAAGGCGGCGTAAAACCATACTCATTCACTCACTACAAATCACCGAGAGGCTTTGTTGGTCCAGTCGCCCAAGGCGTCGCGATTCACTATGCAGAGTTGCGTCCCTTGGGCGTGCCAGAATCCGATGATCGTTGTTTTGAATCCCGGTTTGCCCTGATTATGTTGTTAGGATTGTCTGCACCATAGCTCGGGGGTTCTACCAAAGTGGTAAACGATCTAGATTACTTCGGAATTTCTCACCACATTAACCTGAGACGCCGTGATGTAACTGGAATACTGTTCAAAGCGTCCCGTGAAGATCCGGGGTAGGATAACCCATGCTAGTCATAAAAAGTGACTATGCTTGTCGTAATAGGTGACTAACGGGATCCAGTGGTCAGGCTCGCTGACTTGGTTGGTGCATGTCACCGTATCTCAATTCCGTGGATCGACGCTCATGATGTCAATCACTGGATTGTCTGATCCAGACTCGATTATTTACAGACCGCCGTCACATAGGTGGAATATTGCTGAGTGCGGCGTTAAACAACAAAGAAACAGGCTGTTCAAAGCAGCGTTAAACACCGCTCACTCACTCACTCACTCACTCACTCACCTTGTTGTCCGAGAGTGCCCCATCACGCTGGAGGTATCCCTCACTGACCGCTTGCCCGGCGACCTGTAGGGATTGGACAAGTGATTCTTGAGCCACATCTGACTGAGGATATACATAGGGTGACAGTTCTTGTCCACTCCAAGGGAACAGTCGTCTGTTGGTCTGCAGAACATAGACCCCGTGCATGTAATAGTTGAAACCACACTTTCCTCGGGGATCTGTCAATACCCCTAAGCTTTGGTCGTGGGGCCTCCCAGATCTCACAACCAAAGCTGTAGGGTTATATACCGAGGAAGTGTGGTATAACTGACTAATACCCCACTTTCGGTCGGGTTAATCACAATAAACATATACTGCCGGGAAAAAGAAAGTATACACCAATGTTTGTACCCATGCGCGTTTTATGCTAAAAATGAAGAAACAAGAAATGATTATTCGATGGTGATATATGTGATATGGGAACCATAGTTGTGTTTTGGTTTTGCAGCGTTTCGTCGTCTAGTAACGTTTTGATAACATTTGTTGTGTCTTGTTTAATTCCACTTTTCAAGTGGATACTTTCTTTTGCCCGGGAGTATATTTTGGACGTTCAAACCCTGGCAGATTCGCGTCTTTGTTTGTGATACTCCAGTATGCGGCTTGTAAACTTAGTCGTTTTGCACATGCTCTATCATCATCATCATCATCGTCGTCATCATCATCATCATCATCATCATCATCATCATCATCGTCATCATCATCATCATCATCATCATCATCGTCATCATCATCATCATCATTGCAAAAGTCTATCGTTCCCTTAAAGCCTTTTTTTCTGGACCCTGTAAATATAGCCGTTTTGTTAGGAATATCATATATATTCGCGCTAACGGTACCACCATCCGTTACGAGATTTCACTGTATATACAGAAAAGACTGACACTGTGACATTCTATTTGTACTCGCCCGAGATGCTATTGACTGCTGTCACTGCACAACAAGTGTTCCGGACTGACGTACACGACGGTGCCATCCCGAATTTATGTAGGTAACAATGAGAAAATAGTGTTCGACCGATAGGCACTGTGTATTCCAACATATTCGAAGGATCAGTACCTGTAGTTTTACAATCTAAAAACAGAGCATTCCAGTATTTATCAAATAGGGGTGTAACGGTAAAAAAGTAATCTCATTTAAATCAGATCTTAGTTCTCGCTACCGCAAAACAAAGATCTGAGGACATCCCATTGGGGTTCACGTCAGAACGACCTTTCATCCGACCAATCAGAGCGTCGCTTACTAGATCATGAAAGTGACAGGAATGTGATTTCATTTCATGCAACGTCGTAAACCTTAACATAGGGTATTCCGAACGATAGTTACGGGCTAATCCATACAATCTAGACCATCTATTAGCCATTCCAGAATGTTCTTTTGTTCAGGTTTCAATTTTTTAATCGAGAATTTGTCAAAATATGTTTCGAAGCGTAGTCGCCAATTTGAAATTAATGACGTAAAGCACGATAACGCTGCCTTCTGATTGGCTAATCAGATTGGCTAATTCCATTGGTCGGTCAAAGTTGACACCAAAGGATGTCCTCAGATCTTTGTTTAGCGGTAGCGAGAACTAAGATCTGATTTTAATGAGATTGGTAAAAAAGAAACTTTGGATGTAAGTACCGTTATATTCATGACAGTGAATGGCTTAGAGTCTATGATCTTCAGAAGATCGTTCACACAAAGAGTTTACTCCCACACGCCAGTAAGTTCGCAACGGAGTGTATTCAATTGCAGAAATGTCTAAGTCTATGGGACTATCTTTCTTTAAATTGGATTAATCACATACCTGAAAACATACCTGTAAAAGATGTGATGATATTAAACTTATAAATATGATAATATTAAAATGGCTGGATGAATAAGGTTGAAATATGCCTGATCGCTGTCCATAAACCAAAGGACTCGAACACTTCATGACTTACATCAAAGATAGAAAAAACACTGAACGATCACTTCTTGCGATCATAGCATAAGCACGCTGTGGTCAGCGTTTAGACGATAATGGAGATGCAAACTGGACTTGGTCAGTTCGAGGGGGCACGGCACGATTCGCTGTGCAGAGTTGCGTCCCTTGGGCATGCCAGGAACCTAGGATTGTGGGTTCGAATCCCGGTTCGCCCCGATTATGTTTCTAGGTTTGTCAGCACCATACCCGTGGGTTTCACCAAATTGGTAAACGTCTGAGACCTGCATCACTTGAACTTTCCTCCCACATTAAGCTGACACGCCGCGATATAACTGATGCTGTTACAGCGGCGATAAACCCAACTCACACACTTACTTGTCAGTTCGATACTTATTATTCAGATATGAATTTTCCTACACTCGGGTTTCTTAAGATGTTGGAAACTGGGAACTATTTTTGTACCCTTTTTAAACAACAAACCTTTATTATCTGGAATGGTAATCTGACAAAGCAAACTCTCACGTGCTCTGATCATACTCTACATTTAAATCCAGCATTGCTCTCGAGTTCTATCTACAAGCTCTATCGCCTCCATAATATCCTTAACAAAGTTCAGATGTGGTATCTTTAATTTAAATATTCAACTGTTTAAAGGATCAAAAGTTAATGATTTTAGTATAGCTATGTGCCAGGTCTGTTTGCATTTTCAGGGAGATGTATTCCATATTTTATTTCAATGCCCTTTTATGCAGGGCAAAGAAGAAATATTTCCGGAATTTCTATACCAGTAACCCAAACCAACAAAAATCTTTTACATATTTTAAAAACCCCAAATAAAATATATTTTTAAGACACACTTTTGTTATAAACAAAGTTTCACAAGATAAATTGTCTACAACTGTTTAGAATTGCATAAAACTGATCTTAGGCGCCCATACATGAATTTTGTAAAACTGTCACTGTACTATTGGCCTCATGGCCAAATAGTACGAAAACAACGCCTGTCTGTACTCTCTGGTCAAACACCTGCTGCCTAAGGTGGAAAAACAAGGTCATCGGATACCGACAACATGACCTACTCTATCCCACTGACAACACTCATCCTTGGCAAGAAATAGCACTCGACCTACACTCTACAAAACACATCTGAGCTAGCTGTAGTACTGGATGTCACATCTTCAAAATATAGCGCCTATATAGTTTGACTTGAAGTGACGCAGGTCTCAGACGTTTACCACTTTGGTGAAACCCACGAGCACGGGTATGGTGCTGACAAACCTAGAAACATTACCAGGGCGGTAGATTCACAAGGGACGCAACTCTGCACGGCGGATTGTGGCGCCAAAGACGACTGGGCCACCCCTAACACAGAAAATATAAAAGGTTTACCTACGCTCTAAAACAGCACAGCAATATCCCGACTAAATGACTACTAACTCTAGAACACCTATCGTATATATGTATACCGTATTTCCTCGCTGGGGCTGAAACAAATTTGTGAGAAAAGAATTCAGATCTCTTAATCATGATGGTCTAATAAACATGGATTGGAAACCTTTTAATGAATAGTCCCTAATGTATGGTGGAGAAATACATGCTTGGCCTCTATAAGACGTCGTGTCTCCCAAACACACCGGGACTTGTAAAACAGACAATGAATGCTCCCTATTTAGAAACCATATCATTAATTAATAGCCCCATACTTCAAGGTGAAGTCATACAGCTCCGGTGTCTAATATACACCAGGTGACCAAATGCAACCTGGTCAGAACCATAACGCGAGGTCTTGAATAGAAGCCGGATCTCCAATTAATGCTTGGGCATTATACCATCCGGATAAAAACATGGCGGTGGCGTCAGCTACAGGAAACGCGGTGCAGCAGAACGAACAGGTTTGACCTTAATGTGTACTGGGCATGCCTCGTTCTAGAAAATAACAACAAAAACAACAAAAACACAACATCAGTGTAACATCCTCGCTCCATGTGTCCTCATTCGTCTTGTCGGTTTAATTCTGAAACAATTTTTATTCATTTTATTTGATGATTTAAAATGGAATGCCAATCAGAAAAACAAAGACAAGCAAGCTCTTAGCTGCATCTCCTTTAGCAGGGATCAATGTAATTGTGGTAGCTCTTGACGATGTAACCAAGAATAAGTACACATAGATTACCGTTGCCTTTCATTAAGTTTTACGTGAGAATATTCCAAATACGATGTTGTCTCGTGAAATATTAATTATGTCCTGGTACATAGCATCCTTCAGAAAAAAGTTATTAATAGATATGCACAGCATCCGTCAATATCTATGTTTGCCCTCCAATTACCGTTATTGATATATATTAATTGATACCTCTACAAACAATAGCTACTTAGCCTGATCGTTATGAAAGAGATCGATTAGAATTAACGTTATAATCCATACATCAAAATATTTTTGGAAGAAATAAAGATTAGAGCAGAGGTTTCCAATGGCAAAAAGCAACATTATTGTAAGTTCTTATATGTAATGAGTATGGACTAGTTAGTTTAAATTTGGGTGCTGGAGCAGCCTAGTGTTAAAGCGCTCGGTCGTCACGCCGCAGATCAAGGTTGGATTCAGAACATTTGTGTTTGGAGCCCATGTCATGTGTCCTCCGTCGTGATATTGATAAAATATTGATAAAAGCGGCGTAAAACTTCATTCGCTTATCCATTATGCAACTATTTTACTTATTTTACCCCTAACAAATACCCGTTTTCTTATGAAAACAATATCGCAATGTCAGTGGGAATGGGACGTCAGTGGGAACGATCTAGGTTACCTCATCGCCATCAATATGACAGGCTTAAAGGGGAACTACGCACGGTTAAATGACAGTCCCAGTATATTTGATTTTAGCCTTAAACACCACTGCTAATGCCTGCTACTTCAAATGTTGTAGGGGCGGTCGGGTAGCCTAGTGGTTAAAGCGTTCGCTCGTCACGCCGAAGCCCGGGTTCGATTCCCGACATTGGTACAATGTGTGATGCCCATTTCTGGTGTCCCCCGCCGTGATATTGCTGGAATTTTGCTAAAAGCGGCGTAAAACCATACTCACTCACTCACTCACTCAAATGTTTTAATGTATGCTACTCTAGACAAGTTAAACTCCGCAACTGGGAGGCTGTGTGTTGCAATACCCGCCAGCTATGACAGATGAATTATAGCCGTATGAAACAACTGGGTACGCGTGTT